TGAATAGTCAGCTAATGTAGAATCCTAGGAGTAAGTAATTCTTTTCTCTCCCAGCCTCACCAAGATCTACCAATTTTGCCTACCAAATATTTTCATTAATCTTGCCCCTTCATCTTAATGCACTCCAGAGTTAGAAGTCAGCCTGTCACCTGAGCTTTTTGCATTTTGTCTATTGTTTTAGTATCCCAATTAAGTATAATCCCAACATCCTCCTAAAACATATCCTGTTCATATTAATTGCTCTGGTCTTTAAATGACTTTACATAATTTGTAAATTAAAGCCGAACTTCACAAGCATATATGTTCCTTAATGATTTGCCCCTCTCTTACCACAACCACCTGCAGCCACTTAACCACCAGCTTCTCTCTCACCCTTGCCTTTAATGAACCACCTGTCACTTCTTAAACAGGATGTGCTCTCTTAGATATCTTTGCACATGCAAAGTATAGTACTTTCCTAAGCATAGTATGCTGTTTCCCATTTTGTCCCCTTCTTAAAATCATCCTTCAAGATTCATCTCAAGCATCACTTCCTCAGTGAAGCCTTTTCTGAAAACCCTGCTGTGTACTCCCTTAACAGGCTGCGCCCACCTCTCTTACAATGTGTGGTTAAATTAACTAGCAAATTCTCTTTTATATCTAATCTAACTTGAGTTAGATCTCTCCAAAACATCTGAACTAATAAGCTGTGATTCTGTATTATTATTATTTCAAAGAAGGCTAATGACTGCTAAAATAAGTTTGAAAATCACTGAACTAAATGATAAAGCGTTATTATTGGTTGAATCATCTTTAACAAGGGGCACGCCTTGTGGAGATGAATTAGGATATGTTTCCCTCTGGGTGCATGCAGTCTGTCAGAGCACAGTCCCCACTAACCTTTTGCCAAGATGTCTTTATGCAATATGCAAAATGAACAAGCATATGACATTATGGTATAATTACAGGTGTGTGTACACATCTGTTTTTCATATCCTAGACTGAAATTCTGTCTTTATCCCTAGTATATCGTAGAATTTCTGATACAGAATTCTCAAGGAACAGTTGCTTAAGTAATTAATAATAGCAATTCTTAAATCATACTACGTAGTCTTTTTGTTTTCTGTTTTTTGTTTTTAAGACAGAGTTTCCCTCTTGTTGCCCAGGCTGGAGTGCAATGGCATGATCTCGGCTCACTGCAACCTCCGTCTCCTGGATTCAAGTGATTCTCCTCCTGCCTCAGCCTCCTGAGTAGCTGAGATTGCAGGCATGCACCACCACATCTGGCTGGTTTTGTGGCTGTGTGTGTGTGTTTAGTAGAAATGGGTTTCACCATGTTAGCCAGTATGGTCTCGATCTCCTGACCTCATGATCTGCCCACTTCAGCCTCCCAAAGTGCTGGGATTACAGGTGTGAGCCATTGCGCCCAGCACCATGTAGTCTTAATTTACTAGCAATTAGCTGCTAGTAAAAGAAATTGGAAATAACAGTAAGAAAATAAATGTTATTTTTCCCTCACATTAGAGAAGTAGTCACTGCAAGGCTGATATGGTACATCCATGGTCAGCAAGAAGCAGACTGCTTTTCTCCTTGGCTTTGCTATCTATAGAGCATGACTTCCTTTCCTGCTTCATAGTCCAATATGGCTGTCCAGGTCATCCCATACAGTTGTGCAGTTTATTTACTATAAAGACAACTGACCAAGAAGTGAATGGGGGCTGTATCCTCTATCCATAGGAGGAAATTTTTCTAACTCATCTGCAAGGATGGGGAATTCTTTCTATTCTGTTCAAAGGCACCAAAAACATTAACAGAGGTGCCATGGCTATTGTGATTCCAGCTATCCCACTCATTTTCCTGGCAGGACAAAAATGAACCCCACCCCTAAATATGTTCCTGGAAGGCTTACCCAAAAAATACTTGCTTAGATGTCACTGGCCAAAAGCAATGAAAGAACACGAGTAGCTGAAAGGGAAGCTGGAAAGCATAGTGTTTCGGTGAGATACACTGCTACCATAAATAAACTACTGGATAGCCTCAGTCTAAGTGCAGCACAGATATGATTCATCACCTCAACACTGAATGGTTGATGAATCCAAAGAAATAGTTAAAGCATTTTATTTAGTTTTATAACTAAGAGTTTTAACTCTAGCAATCTTAACAATTATGTTTATCTGAATTAAAGCAAGACACTTTCAAAAAACTTTCATGATCTGTTTTTAGAAATTGATGATAATTTCTCTCTCTCGTCCTCTCTCTGAATGCTTGTTTTTGGTATTCCAAAGAACATCAGTATGTAAATTCTGAGTTATCAAGTAGAATGATTCCCTTACTTTTTATAATTTTTTAAAAGTCTCCTCTTAACAAGAGCTCTTTTTTTCTTTTTTTTTTGAGACAGAGTCTCACTCTATCGCCCAGGCTGGAGTGCAGCGGTACAATCTTGGCTTACCGCAACATCTGCCTCCCGGGATCAAACAGTTCTCCTGCCTCAGCCTCCCAAGTAGCTGGGATTAAAGGTCATGCCACCATGCCCGGCTAATTTGTTGTATTTTTAGTAGAGATGGGATTTCCCCATACTGGTCAGGCTGGTCTCAAACTCCTGATCTCATGATTTGCCAGCCTCGGCCTCCCAAAGTGCTGGGATTACAGGCATGAGCCACCACACATGGCCAAGAGTTCTTTTTCCTATCCAAGATACCATTTAAAGTTTAGGATTCTGTTTATTAATGTTTGTACCTGTGTTTCTAAGCCAATGATAACTAATGAAGCTTTCCCCACTTCCTTTCTTTCAAGGATCTTTATAATCTCGATGCAAAGATTCACACTAGGTCTCATCCAGACTTGTTTACTATAAATGCCATGACTTTCCAACTCTGTATCTTTCTTCATGTTGTTCATGGGTTCCACTTCTCAACTTCCCATTTACACACCATCAAACAAGCACATCCTTCAAGCACTTACTCCCATCCTTTTTCATGAAACTGCCCATACTTTTTCATAAAGCACTTTGTCACCCAGGCTGGAGTGCAGTGGGGTGATCTCAGCTCACTGCAACCTCTGCCTCCTGGGTTCAAGCGATTCTCCTGCTTCAGCCTCCTCAGTAACTAGGATTACAGGCATGTGCCATCATGCCCAACTAATTTTTGTATTTTTAGTAGAGACGAGATTTCACCATGTTGGTCAGGCTGGTCTCATACTTCTGCCCTAAAGTGATACACCCGCCTCGGCCTCTCAAAGTGCTAGGATTATAAGCATGAGCCATCATGCCTGGCCAAAAATTAGTTTTCATACAGCATCTTGTGCTGAAAACTGTGGCATGGAAACATACTGTATGGCAGGGAAAATAAACTAGATGTTAAAATTTTACAACAGATATTCCACCCACTAAATAATTTATATTTTGAAATTTGAGATTTATATAATCTGGAATAACTCTTTAAATGTCAAGCATAAAATTTTGTTTTTTGTTTTAAACTAATACCAACTGCTGATACACCTACGCAAAACAAATTCGGTAAACTTCCACCAGCTGTCCTTTAAAATAACCATTAGTTGAAAGAATTATGCCTTTCTGCAACAGGGATAATTTAGTTATTTCCAAAATTATATTCTACTTTTTTATTTAGCTTGTCTGTATTGGTATTCCAATCCCAAAAATAGCTAAGAAAGAACAACATTTCTAACATTTCAAATCTTCTAACTTCTTCCTATTTATCTTCCATATATAACAGTATATTCTTTCTATAACTTCCTTGTGCTATTTTTTTTAATAAGCAACTTTTAGATTTAGCCGTCTTAACTGAATGGGCCAACCAAGCTTTATTTTTTTTTACAGAATTTATGAAATAGAGCAAATCTTTTGATGTGAAGACAGAGCCTCTATTTCACTCTTTGGTTCTGAAATGACTCACATTTGTCATATATTTTAATTTGTGTTCTCTAGTTAACCTTTTCAGTTCCTTCTTTATGACATACAGAATGAGGATTAATTAGGTTTCCAACATTTGATGTGTTTTAACAGAATCATTACATGAAACTATTTTCCCCATTGCACGTTATAATGCCTGAAAATTCAGCATGGAGACTGACTTCTTTGAAAATAAAAACTTCTAGATCCAAGATGGCCGAATAGGAACACCTCTGGAGTGCAGTTATCAGCAAGAAGAACACAGAGGGTGAGTTATCACCACATTTCCAAATGAGTTTTTACTGCCCACAGACCTGGCAATTCCCGGGCTGAAAAGCGACACAAGCTTCCAGCAGAGCTGTTTCAGCTGGCACTGTAGGTCTCCACACAAAAACTTGTACAAATCCAGGCATCTGTTTCAACAGGCACCTGGAACACCTGGGACACAGAGCCGCCCATTCAACTGAAAAAAGGGGGGGCTGAAACAGGGAGCCAGGTGAATTTGCTCAGTGGGTCCCAACCTCCACAAAGACCAGCAATCTGAAATGCTCTGGATTGAGAGTTTTGCAGCAAGTGCAGCTGGACCCCAGATGGTCCAGCTTGGTGGGGGAAGGGCATCAGCCATTACCAAGGCAGTCCACAACTACTGAGGCAGTCTGCCATTACTGAGGCAGTCCGCCATTGCCGAGGCAAGCCGCCATTACTGAGGCAGTCCACCATTACTGAGGCAATCTGCCTTTACTGAAGCAGTCTGCCATTACTGAGGTAGACGGCCATTACTGAGGTAGACGACCATTACCAAGGCAGTTCTAACAGGAAATTCACACAGCAGCTGGGCACAGCCCACAGAAGCTCAGTAATGCCTCTGCTGGCAGACTGTGCCTAGACTACCACCTTGCTGGGCAGGGCATCTCTGAAAAAAGGCAGCAGCACATCAGGAACTTATAAGTAAAGCCCCACCTTTCCAGGACACAGCACCTGGGAAAAAAGGTATTTATGAGTTCCGCTGCAGCAGATTTAAATGTACCTGCCCAGAAGCTCTGAACAAAACAACGGAACTCACAGCTCAGCACTTGAGCTCCTATAAGGGACAGACTGTCTCCTTAAGCAGCTCCCGGACCCCTGTATATCCAAAGAGACACCTTGTAAAGGAGAGCTCAGCCTGACATCTGGTGAGTACCCTTCTGGGACAAAGATAACAGAAGAAACTGGCAGCAACCCTTACTGTTCTTCAGCCCCCATGGATGATCCCAAGCCAAGCAGGGTCTGGAGTAGACCTCCAGCAGGCTTACAGCAGAGGGGCCTGATGGTTACAAGGAAAACTAAAAAACAGAAAGAAATAACGTCATCATCAACAAAAAGGACATCCACTCAGAGACACCATCCAAAAGTCACCAACTATGAAGACCACAGGTAGATAAATTGACACAGATGGTAAGAAACCAGCCCAAAAAGGAGTAAAACACCAAAAACCAGAATACCTCTGCTCCTGCAGGTGATCACAACTCCAAACTAGGAAGGGAACGAAGCTGGATGGAGAATGAGTCTGATGACTTGACAGAAACAGGCTTCAGAAGGTGGGTAATAACAAACTTCTTTGAGCTAAAAGCACATGCTCTAACCCAGTGCAAAGAAACTAAGAACCTTGAAAAAAAGTTTGACAAAATGCTAATGAGAATAAACAGGTTAGAGAAGAATATAAATGACCTAGGAAGCTGAAAAATGCAAGAGAACTTCACGAAGCATACACAAGTTTCAGTAGCTGAATTGAGCAAGAAGAAGAAAGGATATAAGAGATTGAAGATCAACTCAATAAAATAAAAAGAGAAGGCAAGATTAGAGAAAAAAGAGTGAAAAGAAATGAACAAAGACTCCAGATATATGGGATTATGGGAAAACACCTAATCTACGTTTCATAGGTGTACCTGAATGTGATGGAGAGAATGAATCCAAGCTGGAAAACACCCTTCAGGATATTATCCAGGAGAACTTCTCCAAACTAACAAGGCAGGCCAATATTCAAGTCCAAGAAATACAGAGAATGCCACAAAGATAGTCCTCAAGAAGAGCAACCCCAAGTTACATAATCGTCAGAATCACCAGGGTTGAAATGAAGGAAAAAATGCTAAGGGCAGCCAGAGAGAAAGGTCGGGTTACCCACAAAGGGAAGCCCATAAGACTCATAGCGGATCTCTCCACAGAGACCCTACAAGCCAGAAGAGAGTGGGGGCCAATATTCAACATCCTTAAAGAAAAGAACTTTCAACCTAGAATTGCATATCCAGCCAAATTAAGTTTCATAAGTGAAGGAGAAATAAAATCCTTTACAAACAAGCAATTGCTCAGCAATTGTGTCACCACCAGGCCTGCTTTATAATAGCTCCTGAAAGAAACACTAAGCATAGAAAGGAACAACCAGTACCAGCCACTCCAAAAATGTACCAAATGATAAAGAGCATTGACACAATGAAGAAACTGCATCAACTAATAGGCAAAACAACCAGCGAGCATCAAAATGGCAAATTCACACATCACAATATCAACCTTAAATGTAAATGGGCTAAATGCCCCAATCAAAAGACACAGACTGGCTAATTGGATAAAAAGACAAAACCCATCAGTGTGCTGTATTCAGGAAACCGATCTCCTGTGCAAGGACACACATAGGCTCAAAATAAAGGAATGGGGGAAGATTTACCAAGCAAATGGAGGGCAAAAAAAAAAAAAAAGCAGGAGTTGCAATCCTAGCCTCTGATAAAATAGACTTTAAAGCAAAGAAAATAAAAAAAGACAAAGAAGGGCATTACATAATGGTCAAAGGATCAATGCAACAAGAAGAGCTAATGATCCTAAATATATATGCACCAATACAGGAGCACCAAGATACATAAAGTAAGTTCTTAATGACCTACAAAGAGACTTAAACTCCCACACAATAATAATGGGAGACTTCACTGTCAATATTAGACAGATCAACAAGACAGAAAATTAACAAGGATATCCAGGATTTGAACTCAGATCTGGACTAAGCAAACCTCATACACATCTACAGAACTCTCCACCCCAAATACACAGAATATACATTCTTCTCAGCACTGCATTGCACCTACTCTAAAATTGACCACATAATTGGAAGTAAATCACTCCTCAGCAAATGCAAAAGAACGGAAATCATAACCAAAGTCTCTCAGACCACAGTGCAATCAAATTAGAACTCAAGATTAAGAAACTAACTCAGAACCGCACAACTTCATGGAAACTGAACAACAGGCTCTTGAATGTTGACTGGATAAACAATGAAATGAAGGTAGAAATAAAGATGTTTTTCGAAACTAAACAAGAACCAAGATACAACGTACCAGAATCTCTGGGACATATTTAAAGCAATAAATTCCCACATGAGAAGCAAGGAAAGATCTAAAATCGACACCCTATCATCAAAATTGAAAGAGCAAGATTAAAAAAAAAAAAAAAACTCAAAAACTAGCAGAACACAAGTAATAACTAAGATCAGAGCAGAACTGAAGGAGATAGAGACACAAAAAAACCCTTCAAAAAAATCTCTAAATCCAGGAGCTCAATTTTTGAAAAGATCAACAAAATAGACAGGCCACTAGCTAGAGTAATAAAAAAGAAAAGAGAGAAGAATCAAATGGACATAATGAAAAACAATAAAGGGGATTTCACCACTGAGCCCACAGAAATACAAACTACAATCAGAGATTACTACAAACAACTCTATGCACATAGACCAGTAAACCTGGAAGAAATGGATAAATTCGTGGACACTTGCACGCTCCCAAGCCTAAACCAGGAAGAAGTTGAAACCCTGAATAGACCAATAATAAGGGCTGAAGTTGAGGCAGCAATTAATAGCCTACCAACCAAAAAAAAAAGCCCAGGTACAGATTGGTTCACATCCGAATTCTACCAGACATACAAAGAGGAGCTGATACCACTCCTTCTGAAACTATTCCAAACAATTTCCAAAAACAGGGAATCCTTCCCAAATCATTTTATGAGACCAACAGCATCCTGATACCAAAACTCGGCAGAGACTCAACAAAAAAAGAAAACTTCAGGCCTATATGCATGATGAACATAGATACAAAAATCTTCAATAAAATACTGGCAAACCGATTGCAACAGCACATCAGAAAGCTTCTGCATCACAATCAAGTAGGCTTCATCCTAGGGATGCAAGTCTGGTTCCACATACGTGAGTCTGTAAACATAATCCACCACATAAACAGAACCAAAGACAAAAACCACATGATCATCTCAATTGATGCAGAGAAGGCCTTTGACAAAATTCAACAGCCCTTTATGCTAAAAGATCTCAATAAACTAGGTATAGATGGAACATATCTCAAAATAATAAAAGCTATTTACGACAAACCCCCAGCCAGTATCATACCAAATGGGCAAAAACTGGCAACATTCCCTTTGAAATCTGGCACTAGACAAGAATGTCCTCTCTCACCACCCTTATTCAATAAGTTACTGGAAGTTCTAGCCAGAGCAATCTGGCAAGAAAAAGAAATAAAGGGTATTCAATTAGGAAAGGAGGAAGTCAAATTCTCTCTATTTGCAGATGACATGATTATATATCTAGAAGACTCTATCATCTCAGCCCAAAATCTCCTGAAACTGATAAGCAACTTCAGCAAAGTCTCAGGATACAAAATCAATGTGAAGAAATCACAGGCATTTCTATACACCAATAACAGAGAAACAGAGAGCCAAATCAAAAGCGAACTCCCATTCACAATTGCTACGAAGAGAATAAAATACCTAGGAATACAACTAACAAAGGATGTAAAGGACCTCTTCAAGGAGAACTATGAACTACTGCTCAAGGAAATAAGAGAGGACACAAACAGATGGAAAAACATTCCATGCTCATGGTTAGGAAGAATCAATATTGTGAAAATGGCCATACTGCCCAAAGTAATTTACAGATTCAATGCTATCCCTATGATCCTCTTCACAGAACTGGAAAAAAACCACCTTAAACTTCCTATGGAACCAAAGGAGAGCCCACATAGCCAAGACAATCCTAAGCAAAAAGAACAAAGCTGGAGGCATCATGCTACCTGACTTCAAACTATACTACAAGGCTACAGTAATCAAAACAGCTTGGTACTGGTACCAAAACAGAGATATAGACCAATGGAACAGAACAGAGGCCTCAGACACAATGCCACACATCTACAACCATCTGATCTTTGACAAACTTGACAAAAACAAGCAATGGGGTAAGGATTCCCTGTTTAATAAATGGTGTTGGGATAGCTGGCTAGCCATGTGTAGAAAGCAAAAATTGGACTCCTTCCTGACACCTTACACTAAATTTAACTCCAGATGGATTAAAGACTTAAACATAAGACCTAACACCATAAAAACCCTAGTAGAAAACCTAGACAAAACCATTCAGGACATAGGCATAGGAAAAGGACTTCATGACTAAAACACCAAAAGCATTGGCAACAAAAGCCAAAATGGACAAATGGGATCTAATTAAACTCCAGAGCTTCTGTACAGCAAAGGAAACAATCATTAGAGTGAACCAGCAACCAATGGAATGGGAAAAAATTTTTGGAATCTACCGATCTTACCAAGGGCTAATATCCGGAATCTACAAATAGCTAAAACAGATTTACAAGAAAAAAACAAACAAACCCATTCAAAAGTGGGTGAAGGATATGAACAGGCACTTTCCAAAATAAGACATATATGAGGACAGCAAACGTGAAAAAATGCTCATCATCACCGGTCATTAAAGAAATGCAAATCAAAACCACATTGAGATACTATCTCACACCAGTTAGAATGGCAATCATTAAAAAATAGGGAAACAACAGATGCTGGAGAGGATGTGGAGAAATGGGAACACTTTTATACTGTCGGTAGGAGTGTAAATTAGTTCAACCATTGTGGAAGACAGTGTGGTAATTCCTCAAGGACCTAGAAATAGAAATTCCATTTGACCCAGCAATCCCATTACTGGGTATATACCCAAAAGATTAAAAATAGTTCTATTATAAAGACACATGCACACATATGTTCATTGAGGCACTGTTTACAATAGCAAAGACCTGGAACCAACCCAAATGCTCATTGATGAAAGACTGAGCAAGGAAAATCTGGCACATATACACAGTGGAGTACTATGCAACCATAAAAAACGATGAATTTGTGTCCTTTGTAGGGACATGGATGAATCTGGAAACCATCATTCTCAGCAAACTGACACAAGAACAGAAAATCAAATACCATATGTTCTCACTCATAGGCAGGTGTGGAACAATGAGAACACATGGACACAGGGAGGGGAGCATCACACACTGGGGTTTGTTGGGGGGGACTATGGAGGGGCATTGGGGGTAGGGAGATTGGAGAGGGATAACATGGGGAGAAATGCCGGATATAGGTGACAGGCGGATGGAGGCAGCAAACCACATTGCCACGTATGTACCTATGCAACAAATCTGCTTGATCTGCCCATGTACCCCAGAATCTAAAGTACAATTAAAAAAACATATGAAAAAAAAAGAAAAGAAAAACTTCTAAAATACCATACATCATCTTAAATTAGTGTGTCACAACACCTGCTATGTAGAACACACTTTGCCATGAGATTCTCAGGGTATGTGGAAAGGAGAGATTCTATACTCAAATAAATATAGGAAATGCTACACACTGCATTTTTTATCTTGAAAACTCATGATACTCTTAAGTTTAACAATTAGGAAATCTTACCTCAAGAAACATGTTTAACTTTAATAGTGTTTTCTGAAATATATTGTCCATAGAGCTCTACTTAATACCCATAAATATTCTATCATACCAGTGTTCTGTGGAACATGTTTTGCGAAATGCTACCTAAACCTACAATCAGGAAAACCTTGCTTTAGAATTATAGAAACATAAAGCTGGAAATCTTACGTTATTGATAAGGTAGCTTAAGTCTCATGTTTATCAGATTTTAAAAAATACACCTATAAAAGTTAAATTATGTGGCTTAAATACTAAAGCCAGGATTAGAACCTACCTTTCATTTCCCATCTGATTCCTGAAATCAAAATGCTATAGAATTATAGTGCACATAAAAGGCCTCTTCATTTGGGTTACTGGCTCTTACTTCTGTAATTTTGTAAAATGTTATGAGGGAAAAAAGAGTGAGTTCTTGTGGGGTTTGTTTATTTATAAAAACGGAGCCAGGGCTGGGTGCAATGGCTCATGCCTGTAATCCCAGCACTTTGGGAGGCCAAGGCGGGCAGATCATGAGGTCAAGAGATCGAGACCATCCTGGCCAACATGGTGAAACCTCGTCTCTATTAAAAATACAAAAATTAGCTGGGTGTGGTGGTGCATGCCTATAATCCCAGCTACTCAGGAGGCTGAAGCAGGAGAATCGCTTTAACCTGGGAGGTAGAGGTTATGGTGAGCTGAGATCGTGTCACTGCACTCCAGCCTGGTAACAAAGTGAGACTCCATCTGAAAATAAACAAACAAAAATGGAGCCAGTTATGGTGGCTCACGCCTGTAATCCCAACACTTTGAGAGGCCAAGATGGGCAGATCACTAGAGGTCAGGAGTTCAAGACCAGCCGGGGCAACATGGTAAAACCCTACCTCTACTAAAAATATAAAAATTAGCTGAGCCTGGTGGCACATGCCTGTAATCCCAGCTACAGCCAGTGCTCGACTTACGACCACGATTGGTTCCGACAGACTGGTCATAACACGATTTGGTCATAAGTTGAGTAGGCTGTATGTACAGTACTGTGAAATGATGTTATAAAAATCTTTAAGTCACATTTTATCATAATTTTCTTTCATTATTATATATCATAATTTTCTTTGTTCATTTTATGCCATTTGTATCATCTCTACACCATTTTGTTTCTTATTTTTACATTCCTCAGGTTTAAGTAAAACACTGCATTACCAGTACAACTGGTTAAATATTTGCAAAACATACAAAATTACAAAATACAGGTGCATACAAAAATACAAAATACAGGTGTAAAAATACCGTAGGAAACATTTTCCCAATTGCAAAACATATCAAAATATATAAACATGTACGAAACATTTTATTGGCCGCTGGTGCTTGGCTGCGAATCGTTGATGTCGTCATCTGAGGCAGCAGTTGGGGTTACCAGAGTTGGTTTTTTCATAAACATGGTGCGCTTTGTCTGAATTGTATGTTTCTTTTTTTCTTCATAAATTTCACGATACGGACGAAACACATCGTGCGCCATCCGTTCAATCCTTGCAAATCGTTCAATGTTTGGGTCCATTGCTTCGAAATGTATAAGAAGTTTATTCAGTAAAGATAAACTGTCTGATAATCCCTTAGTGGTGAACTTTCTTTCTGGCTCCTCCTCTTCTTTCTCTGCTTCTCTTCTTCCGCCACTCTTTCTTCTTCCAGTTCTATTAGCTCTTCATTTGTAAGTTCTCCAGATTCTTTGTCTAGCAACTCTTCGACATCTTCCATTTCACACTCCAAAGAAAGGTCTTTAGCCAGTTTTACTATCTTTTCCCTGAATCATTTCAAGTTCATGTTCACTGTCAAGTCTGTCAAAATCATTAACATAGCGCGTAACACAATTTTTCCAGACGCCATTCGTGCACTTTGTCGTCACAGCCTCCCAGGCGGTAGCGATATTCTTGATACACATCAAAATGTTGTAGTGTTTCCAAAAATCTACAGCGAAGCAGTCGTGGCTAGCTATTGTGGTCGTAAAGCCGAATGGTCATAAGTTGCATAGGTCGTAAGTCGATCAATACCTGTACCTGGGTGGCTTAGACCCAAGAATCACTTGACCCCAGGAGGCAGAGTTTGCAGTGGGCCAGGATCATGCCACTGCATTCCAACTTGAGCTACAGAGACTCTATCTCAAAAAAAAAAAAAAAAAAATCAAATCATAAGTAATACTGCTTATATATTTTCTTGTCATTACATATAATCCTAGAGCATAGTTCTCAATCCCATCAGATGCCATACTCCCTTTAATAGCAAATATTTTGTAATGCCTTCTTTATTACCTTCATCTGGAATCCATAGACATAAACAATTTATTTTGAAAAGCAGTATAATGCGTTAGCTATAATATTTAGGGTAACTAAAAGCAAAATAATTTATAATGAAATAATATGAAATTCTCTGGCTTGACTACATTAGAAGGCATAGTAAAGAAGTTAGATGCTTCTGTCTATATGTAGCTTTAATGCAAATCTTATGGCTACAAGAGCCAACTAATATATAGACGTGTTAATTTGTCAAAGGAGTGACGTGATTCTTCTAAAATGGTGAATAGCACTTGGTGAATTCCAAGCAAAACAAAGTGCATACATTGTTTTCACTATGTGCATAAGAGCTACATTCCTAGAAAATCCATATTAAAATTATTTCAATTTTGAGAGGCCGAGGCAGGCAGATCACCAGAGATCGGAGTTCAAGACCTGACCAACATGGAGAAACCCTGTCTCTACTAAAAATACAAAATTAGCTGGGCGTAGTGGCACGCACCTGTAATCCCAGCTACTCAGGATGCTGAGGCAGGAGAATTGCTTGAACTTGGGAGGCGGAGATTGCAGCGAGCCAAGATGGCGCCATTGCACTCCAGCCTGGGCAACTGGAGTGAAACTCTGTCTCAAAAAAAAATTAAACTCTCAAAATTCTTTATATTATCAAGAAAATGGAGTTGGTTCTAGATTATTATCAACAGGTTTTTCCTTTTGTTGAGAGGGACATTTCAAAATCATGCAGAATGCATCCTTCTATATGTAGGACTTTTCTGCAAAGTCTAGGACAGCTAGCATCCTACTCATTCTATATATCACTTCCTCACTCCCAACCCTGTGATTGGGATGTCCAAAAACCTTTCCTATCAACTCTCAAAATGCCCACATCCATGAGTTAAGAACCACTGTCGTAGAATATATCTTAAAAATTGCATAGTATTCTATTGAATTCATAAGACACTAGTGGATTACCAACTATTCACTAAATTCAAGGGCACAACTCCTTAACTCATTGAATAATCTCAATAGGGACAATTTACTGAGAGCTCACAATGCCCAAGACATTTTATTTACATTTACCTTTTTAACGTTAATAACCACCATATAAAGTATTATTATTTTTCCTCATGATGCAAAAAAAGGTATGTACACAAGTTCAAATTTTTTCTTGTATCTGCGATGTGAATCTCATGGCTGCAAGAACAGACTGATATACAGATGTGTTGATTTGTCATAGGAGTGACAAATGAGAAACCTGAGGCTCAAAGATGTCAAATAACTTTCTTTAGGAGAGCCAGGATCCAAACGGGTCTTTTTGATGTTTAAATCCATGTGCTTGGCCACTACAATATATTGCCAAATGTAGTTTTTATTACTGCAAGCAGCTGTTCTCTTTCTGTTCATACTTTTCTTACCTTCTGATGTAGCTTCCCTTTGTAAATGCCTTTCCTTTTTGATCTTTCTGGAACAATTTTTTTTCTGGAAACATATGAGGCTGTTCCCTACTTCTTCCCCACTGCCACCCCGGGCCCTTTTAAAGTAGAGATCTGTGCTAGATTTGGATCTGCCACAATTGATTCTAATTAATGTCCCTACCCGAAGGCTGTCTTTAAATTAATGACTCAATATAACTGAGCAAATTTCATTTTTAAAGGAACTTGAGAATTTTTAATTTGAACCAACATGTCCAGGAAGTATACTGTTACATGTTCATTGCCTTTTTTTTCCTCACCAGCCATTCACTTTTTAAACTACTGGATGGTTGCTTCCACTCCCACTATTGTCATCTAAAAATATTATTTCAGTGGTTATGAACAATCTCCTCATTAGTGGAGTGTTTTTCTTCTCTGTTACTAGAGTGGAAGTAATTTGAGGTCAGAGAATACATGCCACTTTGTTTATGATACATTGTAATACTTACACATAGTAAATTCACAGTAACTCTCCATTGAGTTCATGAAGCTGAGTGCAATCTAATTTAGCACAATCCATTGAGTTCATGAAGCTGAGTTCAATCTAATTTAGCACAATAATTATAAGTAAATATGAAGAATTCTTCACTTAGACCCTTTGTGTTTTGTTTTCTACACCCATAAAATGAGCATAATTGTTCCTAAATCAGAGTTCTTCTGAAGATTCAAGGAAATGATATTTGTGAGTGTTGTGAGAATTTTATCAGCATATGGCAGACATTTTTAAAAAGAGTGGCTTTGACCCAGCACAGTGTCTGACGCATGTAATGCCGGCACTTTGGGAGGCCAAGGTGGGTGGATCACCTGAGGTCAGGAGTTTGAGACCAGCTTGACCGACATGGTGAAACCCCATCTCTACTAAAAATATAAAAATTAGCTGGGTGAGGTGGCGGGTGCCTGTAATCCCAGCTACTGGGGAGGCTGAGGCAGGAGAATTGCT